TGACAATATCCAATTTTGTTTTTGTTAATATAAAAATTCTTACTTTATGATCCAATTCTCATAATATTGTTAGGTTATAAATTAATCTTAATTGTTCTTTTTAAGCCTTTACTATTTCATGAACCTAAAGCACGACTAAATATGTCTTGCAAAGACTTATTATCAAAGAAAATTTTACCAGGGTCGTACTTTACACGTACTTTCTCAAATTGGTTAATTTGATCAGATAAAACTTCAGAAAGATAAGATTTCACATTTGGAATAAATTCCCATTCTTTTGCCCAGTGAGGTCTATAGTAAATGAGTTTTTATAATTAGTTAATTAATGAAATTTGTCGTAAATAAAAAAAATTTTAATAATTACTTACTTTGCTTTGTATTTATCGAAATATCGTTGTGCTAATAATTGAGTAAATTCTTCCCAGCTAGGAGTACCAATAACCGCTGCAAAGTTTATTTGACAATACAACGTCTTTGGATCATGATTGAAAGTAGTAGATAATAATGCTTCAGTTGATTTTATTATTCTAATAACTATATAATAGTTTATTGGAAATTTTCCTTTTCTTGTAAATTCATATAGCTACAAATATAATAAGGTTACTATATAGAAACTAATAGAATATTATAAATAGAAAATTAGATAAAATAGCAAACTCACTGTTTGGATTGCGTGAGAAAATTCATCAGCGACATTGGAAAAATCCGGATCAACTTTGAAACTAATTTCCATAAAATGAAGCTTGACATTCTCCATGCCAGCTAAAAAATGGATAGCGTCAGGAGCCTGAAATACAGAACTAGTATTATCATTATTAGAAAATAACGAGGCGGTAATGTTCGGAGTTGCCTCAGGGTTTTGCAAGATACCACTTAGGAGCTCATATTGGCGAATAGTGTTCTGTTTTTGAACTTCATGCTGTTGTTCTATCTGTTGTTGTGTGAAACTCACAGATTCATCAGTTCGTACCCAATTCTTAACCCAAAGTAGATCTCTATTAGGATCAAGAGGATTCGGATCACTCTGATTGAATCCATTGAATGGCCGATAAAATAATTCAATACCATCAGATGATTCTAAAAGATTTTTGATATTATTTGAACATAGATGTCGGTCATACGAAGATTGTACATCGGTTGTACGCGGAAAGTCAACGAATATATTATACCAAGTAAACCTAGCAATAATAAAGTTAGATAGCGAAAGAAAAGTAATAGTCAAAAGTAAATGCTTAGTAGATACCTAAATTAACCTAACAATATTATGAGAATTGGATCATAAAGTAAGAATTTTTATATTAACAAAAACAAAATTGGATATTGTCA